TTTTTTTTTTTTTTTTTAGATTTTATTGGGAGATTGAGGGAGGGGAACAGGGCTGGGGAATTGGGGAAGGGGAACAGATAAGTTGCTTTCCTTTTGTTCTTCAGTCTAGTTGTGGAGTACGTTGCTTCACTGGCCCATGTTGGTATTGTGATCATTGCGCTCTTCCCGGGTGAGGCCGATCAGTCACCGGTCTCTGGATGGTTGCTCACGGTGGCTCTTGGCAGCTCACGCTGGCTGCCAGCCACTCACAGTAGCTCATGGCAGCCCACTGCAGCAGGGGCTGCAGCCTAGCCATCGCTGGCGGCTCACGGCAGCCCAGCTCCAGGTCGAACTGTTGTTCACCATCTTAGCTATAGAGGGCAGTGTCACTGGCCCTCATGTGGGATCCGAATCTGGGCCCTGCTGCTCAGAGCTGGTGTCCCAAGCCAGCTCTTAACCAATGCGCCACTCGGCTGGCCCTGATTTCTTTTATATATGTTTATATATATGTACAAACACATATGCATACTCTTTATCAGATTAAGCAAGTTTCATAACAAGTTTGTAAAGAGGTTTTAAAACAAATGGATGTTGAATTTTACCCAATGTTGTTCCTATATTGACTGATATAGTCATCATTTTTCTCCTTTATTCTGTTAATGTGATCAGTTACACTGGTTGATTTTTCAAATGATAACTAGCATTCCTGGAATAAATTTAACTTGGTAATTATTTAGTGTACCTTTTAGACATTGCTGGATTCAATTTGCTAATATTTTGCTTAGGATTTGTGCACCTATGTTCACAAAAGTTTTTTTTGGTTTTTTTTTCATGATATCCTTGATGGTTTTTGCTTTCAAACTATACTTACTGGGCTCAAGAAATTAGTCAGGGAGTGTTCCTTCTTTTTCTGTTCCCTGGGTGAGTATGTGTAAGATTGTCTATTACGTGTTTGGGAGAATTCATCAATGAAGCTATCTGACCCTGGACTATTCTTCATGAAAAATATATTTTTATGGATCCCCTCGGGGAAAAAATGGAAACTTTGAGAATCTTTCATTGTCCAGGGGCTTCTGAAAGGTAAGACTGAGAGAGAGAGAAGTGGTTGTATATGGCGCTTCAAATTGCCTGACATTTTCCTTAAAGGACCTTGCCCTTGCATCCTATCTCACCACGCTCTCCCTGAACCAGCAGGTCTGTGGGATAACGGGTCTAAGAGCATGTGAGTCTATGACCCAGACTCAGGTCTTTCTGAAAAGCCCTGTTGTTGGGCAGAGTGCAGTGAGTGGGAGGTGGAGAGGGTACTGGTTTAAGCAGACAGAGGCTCTTTGTTTGTTCGGTTTCTTTGTAAATGAAGCAACATTTGGAAACAGCAAATATTGGTTCAGAAAACTAATGCCTTTCTGCCCATCTTCTTTAGGTCAGCTCCCCAACCCCCCTGCACGTACACACAAGTCCAGCTCTTTCTACAGGAGGGCCAACCTCATTGAAACGTAAGAATTTTATTCAGTTTATGATTGAAGATTTGAGTCATGACAGGGATTGTTTTGTAACCAGAAAATCTCTCATATTCACTCTCTTTCTCCCTTTCCTTCTCCCTTTCCTCCCTTCCTTCCTCCCTCTCTCCTCTCCTCTTCTGGATAAAGAGAGGATAAATATCAAGAAGGCAGCTGTGGTCTATAGAAGGCTGGGACACTTAGGAGATTTGAGTTCAGGTTCTACAGCTCTGTGAATGAGGAGCTGTCATGTTACTATAGTGTCCACATCTGAAAAATGGGGTTGCTGATCTGATCTCCTATGGTAGTTGGTCAAGATCACAAGATCTGTGCTTGGAAACTGGAAGGGCTGCAAACATGATAGTTTCCTTCTGTCCTAGGATAAACCAGTGTGTGTCCGAGGTTCTGCAGATGGGGTAGTCAGACCTCTCACAGATGGACCAGCCCCTCTGCAGACCAAAACCTGGGGCTGTGTGTCTGTGGAGAAATGGCGGGGCTACAAGTGCCCTGTCTGTCTCTCTCTCATATGAGCCCCTGAGCCTGTGTGCGTCCCTGTTTTCCAGGAGAGGGAGTGTCCCTGGTGAATGGGCATTTGTACTCTGGAACCAGAGGGCCTGATTTTGCATCTGGCTCACCAGCTGACGTTGGACAAGTTATTCATCTCTCAGGCTCTCAGTTTCCTCATCTTATCTGTGAAATGGGGATTCTAGTACACCAGTCACAGAGGGTTCGTGTCCAGAAACTCTCAATGAGTGTTAGCCATCATTAAGTGTTAAAGGAGGGGCAATGAGTTTCCTGACTCCAGAGTGTTTCTGGTGGAGAATTAAACACCATAAGGCACAAATGTCATAGGCCACCAAGGACACAAAACTCTGTCTTTATAACCTTTACCTCCACACAACCCCATACTCTTACAGATGTGGGCACAGCCATACAACCAGGGTCCTATACACATGTACACCCTACAGCCAGCCTCCCCGCTGCTCCTGAGCAATGACAGACACAGTGTTCTGTTCCTGTCCTTCTCCTGAGCAAGAATTAAGGCCCTGGGTCCCTGTCCATGTGAGTAGAGTATGTGGGACTCCTGTTATCCATGTTTCATCTGACCTTTCTTCAGATCCCGTGAGCTCTGTCCTTCCTCCCTGGCCCCTGTCTTGGGCTTGTACTCAGAGGGTTCCACTGAGGCAGAGCATAGGGTTGGCTGGTGTGGAGAGGGCTCAGCCTGGCCCAATCATGCTCCCTCTGAGGGACTCAGGCTAGGCTGTGGGCCTGTCCCCGGAGGAGCTGCCTCAGGAAAGGCTCACTGTGTGAGTGCAGCAGGGGCCCAGGGAGGAGAGGCATGGTCCATTGGCCTCCCATGGCCTTCACCAAGCTTGCCTGAGCTTGTGGATTAGCGCAACATTTGGCAACTCTTCTTCCTACTTCTGGACAGACCCTGCAAGCTCACTGTAGGGCCTAGGGAAGGCATCAGCTGAATGTGGGCATGCCTGCTGTGCAGCGTCCTCCCAGCCAGCCCCGCTCCTCACTTTGCCTCTCCATCTTCATCTCTGTACCTGAAGGTCCCCACATGAAGCCAGACCCCCTCTCCTCAATGCCTTTCAATCATGAGAGGAATAGAAATTTATAATATGTTAGTTTATATTCGTTTAAAAAGTTTATATTACAGTTTATTATAACTAATAATATATATATTATTATATATAATATATATTATATATAATAATATATATATATATATAATAAATATATTAGTTTTAAAAAGTACATATACAGAATGTACAATACAACCTCATAAGGTTATACTGGTAAGGATATGCAATCAAAATGGTGTGGAGCCCCCTTAGCTGAAGGGAGGCAGGGATGACCCGGGGCGTTGGGATCGGGTCACATCCTCCCCTGGGCCCCTTTCTTTGTGATCATGTGTCACTTTGTTCTGAGTCTCACAGAGTCGTGACCACATTCCTGGGCAGCTTCCTGTGGGAGAGAATTTGTCTCCCCTGTAACTGTCCCTAGGCCAAGGCACTCAGCGAGCTCTGTGAAGGGAAGGAAGGAAGGTCTCCTTAGCAGGGCACGTGGGGTGCGAGCAGCGCCTCAGTGGGGTGGGCCCTTCAGAGCCCAGAGCGGGGTCTCTGGGGACGGCTGAGAACAAGCGAAGGGTGTTGAGCCTGTTGTCTTTGACTTCAGGCCAGCTTTCTCCTTCTTTGATGCCCTCTCCCAGGAAGGTCTCTGCCTGTCTTTCTCCAGTTCCAGTCTGGATTGGGGTGGGGGTGGGGGTTCTCCTCCCTCTTCCATCTGTGGAATGAGCACATAGGACTTGTGTAGGACCAGCTGGGCCGGTTAGGGTTTCGGGACCACAGCCATCCCCACCCCGACCCGCTGCAGTTCCGCTCCTGGCACAGAGGGAGTGCACATTAACAAGGGATTGCTTTTTCTCTAATTTCCTTCCAATCAGCATTTTTGCGCTGGATTCCATCCAGGGTCCGTCCCAGAGCTCAGGAAATGAGGTGATCGGCGGGGGGCGAGGAATGAAAGGGGCGGGGCGAGGGGGGATTGGGCAAGCGGGCTGCGCAAACACAGCGGGTCAAAGATTGTGCTTGGTCCATTCCGCGGGAGATAAAGGGGCGCGGGGCGCAGAGAGGCGGCGCAGAAGCCGGTGGGTCTGTACTCGCTGCTCCACGCCACAGACCCGGGAGGATGAGGCTCGCCGTCCGCGCCCTGCTGGCCTGCGCGGTCCTGGGTAAGTGCGGCGAGCGGAAGCCCGCAGAGTCGGGCGTCTCTTGCCCCCCGGACCCCGCATACCTCCCCCTGGGCTCCGCCCTTGGGCTGGAAGCAGGGGAGCCATGGTACCCCTGCACCGGCTTAGCACTGTCTCAGCGCCAGCTCTGCGCCAGCGTGAATCTGCTGGCCCTGCCCGTGCCTCTGCCGCTTTCTCATGCACTTCTTGCTTCCGCCTCCTCATTGTCCAGTAAATCTTGCAATGCAATATAATGAATTAGAGCACCTCCATCACGGTGTACCCAATCCCTCTGCGGGGACCTCCTCAGTCAAGTCCAAACTGTTTAGCATGGCATTGAAGGCCTCCGCGGACCTGACCTCCTCCCCTTGGCCGCCTGATGTCAAGTGCGAAGGGTAGTACAGCCCTGCCTGAGGGTCAGGTGAGGCTAACCGACGCCGTGGATCCAGGCACCCGTGGAGTTTGCTGCACGCATCCCTGCCGGGGGCCTGTCACTGGCTGGCCTCTCCCACTCTCATCACTTCGTGAGATTGTTAGGGCTCCTTTGTCCTCTAACTTTTGACCGCCACTTAGGGTGCACATGTCACACCGTTCAAGACATCTATGTTTAGTCATTTGTCTCTCTTGAAAAAGTTTACCCTTAAGAGATGGTCCCACATTGTTTGCCTTTTCCTCACCCCCACCTTTCACCCCCCCCCAGCACCCCATAAGACTGTGTAAGGTAAATGCAGGACTGAAGACAAAATTCCTACTCTTGGGGCCCCAGGAGGGGCTGTTTGGGGAAGGTCTGAAGGTGTGGTTTGGGAGGGTCCGCCATTGACTCCTGATGCCTCCTGTGATTTCCCGGGCAGAGGTGGGACAAAGGGTGGTTGGGGCTGTAAGTTCCTTAAGGCGCCTCTTTATGCATCCTGGGGCACTGGTGTCCTCCCCTCCTCTCCTTTGTGATTTGTGGATATGCATCGTATTACCTGAGTCAGCCCTCTGCTATTGATCCACAGAGAGTGGCGATAAGAGGGCTTTGCAGACAGTGCCAAAGCTCACATGATGGGGACAACACATCTGCAACCACATGGATTTTAGTAGCTACAGACGGGGCTTGAGCTTCTCTTAACGGCAGCCAAGAAGACTGGCGAGAATTGAGGGTCATTGGAAACTGAGCAAGTTTCTAGTTATTCCTGGAACAGAGAATGACAGATGAGTGTCACAGGCAAATTCATTATCTCTTCACTCATTTACCCTCAGCTACTGGCCAAGCAGTTGTAAATACTCAGAATGGTATCTTCTTTTGTTCCCCGGGCACAGACCAAAGTCTGGAGACCTGGGTTCTAGACCAGTCTTGGCCACTAATAGGCTGGGTGACACTGGGGAAAGTGTAGTTCCCTCTTAAAAATGGTAATTCCTACTTTGCTGGCTTCCCTGAGTGGTGGTATTGAGCCAATGCCCTGAAGTGGCTGAAAATGCCCTGTCACCTTGATGAGGCTTATGTTCCATTGCAACCCCATGACGGGGAGGGAAGGAGGCACAGAGAACACAGAGGAGCAGATTGTGGCCTCCAGCTGAGAGCTGAAGATCAAGCTGGCATCCCTCTGGCCAGCAAAGAGTGGCAAATGGGAAACTGGGAGGTCATCAGGGTTCCCTTCTTTTGTTCCCAGCCTCAGAATGCAGTGGAACCTGTACCCTTCGTTGTGCACGGACAGGAGTGGGAGGAGGACAGGACAGAGGGGCTGTAGCCTTCAAGTCCCTTCAAAGGGTGCTGCTGCCATTCCCACTGGCACAGGGACCTCCGGCCTTTCTCCCCTAGGGCTGTGTCTGGCTGTCCCCGAGAAAACAGTGAGATGGTGCACCGTCTCAAATCAGGAGGCCAGCAAGTGCGCCAGTTTCCGAGACAGTATGAAAAAAGTCCTTCCTGAGACTGGCCCTCTTGTCGCCTGTGTGAAGAGAACCTCCCACCTTGAGTGCATCAAGGCCATCGCGGTAAGTCACTGCTCCCTAAAGGAGAGTGGAAGACGGTCCAAACTTTGTCATGCTCTTGTTGTTCTGGAGCAATCCTGTGCTCATGTACAGGAGGCTGGTCAGTCACGTTAACAAATTCACTTTAGAAATGGAACTAGGAGCGGTCACCTTTAATGAGTCTTAAAGCAAAAAAGGGGAGAGTTTTGAGGCATTAAATTCTCTGAATGCAAGAAACAAACATGAATATTTGCATCAACATGTCCTTACACCATTGCTTTGCAAATTCTTCATACACCATGGGAAGTAGATGAGGGATGCTCATTGGGAAGAGAACTAACAGGTCATGATTGCAGATGATGGCTGATCCTTTGTTCTCTAGACTTTCCCAAATCCTCTTCTCTCCACCATTGTTCCCGCTCATTTGAATGTGTGTCAGACCCTGTGCTGGGCAGTGGGACTACAGTGGTGAATCTGAACACACATGGTCCTTACTCTTGAGGAGCTTACAGTCTAGTCAGGAGAGGAGAAAACCATGCAAACAAGTAGACATGTAATTCCACATTGGGTGAAGTACAATGAAGGGGAAAAGTAGACTTTCCGAGGAAAGTAGCATTGGCCTGTGTGTCAGGGACAATCTCCCTGAGAGGGAACAATGACGCTGAGACCTCAGGGATGAACATGGGTAAGGCTGCCAAGAGCCTTGGGTAGAATACTCCAGAAGAACACAACAGCGTGTGCAAAGGGCCTGAGACAGAGGACAGCAAGCAGGAGACTGGAAGGAGTGATGAAGTGGGAGAGAGACTCAACCAGATGGAGCCTGATTAACTCAAGGAATCGGCGATTTGGTACAAACAACTCGCCTGTTTTGTTTCTTTCTTTTTTTTTAAATTGGACCTCAATTACTATTGTGACTTAATTACAACCCTTCAATTATGACATATGTTCATCTTTGATCTATGCGTGCCCCTATATTTTTAAATATGTTAAAATACAAAATAATACTATCCATGAACCCACCACAGGTTCTCTAAGCTTCATTATTGCCAATAGCTTACTTCTAGGACTACTGTGTTGCAGCATTGGATTCTATGGAAATGGCACCACTTGGTGTGTGTGTAACCCACTGGCCATACTCACAACAACCAATGTTTCCCCAAACTGAGCAAAGAGAATCCTAAGAATTTTTGCCATTTATTTCTATTTTAAGACTTATATAGGTATATGTGAATGATTGCATAGTTTTGCTCCTTAAAAAATTTATAAAGATAACATTATTCTGTGTTGTCTTCTCATTTTTGCTTTTTCCTCCTCAATATTATGCTAAGATTTGCCCATGTTGTTGAATGTAGCTATTGTTCATTCATTTTCAGAGCTCTACAATGGCCCATTATGTTAGAATACCACAATTTATTTGTTCTTTTCCGGTCATTAGGCATTTTTGGGCTGTTTTCAGTTTTTGTTATTGTAATCAGGGCTTGAGGAATATTTTTATACAAATCTCCAAGGACTCAAGTATTAAAAGTTTCTCTTGAATTTATATGTAGGGGCAGGCTTGCTGAGCCATGGGATGTGTCAGTATTTGACTTTTAAGACAATGCCAAGTGTATTTGATTTGTAAGCAAACTCAATGTGGTTATTTCAATTTTCACTTCCAATAGCTGTATATGAGAGAATAATCCATATCATTCTTGGTGAATGTAATATTTTATCATTATGAAATAATCTCTCTCTCTCATAGTGCTTTTTGATTAAACTCTGTTTTTCTGATATTAGCATACAACACCAATTATTTCTTTTGGTTCGTAATTTCCTCCTATATCTTTTCCACTCTTTTATTTTCAACTTTCTATATGCTTATGTTCCAGGTGTGACTTTTGAAAACTGCATGTTCCTGGATTTTGTTTATTGATGCAATTTGACAGTCTCATTTGTTTTATATGGTATTGTATATTAGACCATTAATAATTATTGTTGATATGGATAAGTTTAACTTATTTCTGCCACATTACTTATTGATATCTCTTAGTTCTGCTTTCCCCCGATTTCTGAATTTTTAAAAATTGAGTTTGTATATATGTTTTAATTTGCATTGCTTCCATTTATTCCACTGTCTCCCATTGGTAGTGAATTTAAACACTTTATTTATATTCTGTAATGATTTACTATATACTTTTTATTTTTACTACATACTTTTAGCTTACCAAAGTGTTATAGTAAAATAATCCTGAC